AGAACGTAGGGGGAACAGCCTGCTGCCTTACCCCATGGTTGCTCCGCATGTGGGTGCCTTGATCCGATGGCTGGAAACCCTCGACCAGGGGAACGTAGCTGTGCACGTTCAGCTGCCACCAGTGCTCACGCCTCTTCGTGAGATTCTGGACATGCTACTCCGAGGGCAACCTGGGGGAACAGCAGAGTGGGCTCGCCTGGTAGCAGTCGCAGACGCCCTCGAGAGTCTCGTCTCGGGGAATGCTTTGGCTCACCCAGCTGATGTCCTGACTCTCCATCATGGGGGGACAGAAACCAACCTCTTATGTGATGGGGGGACTGTGCCACAGTGGTATGCAGCCGTGGAAACTCTACGACGGCTTCTACATGAAAGGCACCAGTGGCCAGTGCATGTGTTACCAACGATCCAGGAAGCTGCGATCAATCTGGTCCGGGGGATATCAGCTATTACCCCGGAGGAAACGCAACCTGGACCGGGGAGTGGACCCCGGAAGCCTGGTGGTACATGGATCGCCACCATGGCATGGGGGACGTGGCGCGTAGCCAGCCTGCGCGTCGTGGGACTCGACGGCCACGGAGCCCTACTCCTGACGACGACATGTCCGATGCTAGCCATAGACGACGCAGAGTCCTCGCGGGGGACGAGCGGGGGATGTGGGAAGCTCCGGACCAACAAGTGGCTTTGAGAGTGGCAGCAGCGAGCCGGCCCGAGTTGCAGTGAGCTCGAACCCCGAGATCTTCTGAATGCTGTGAGAGTCGCCCTGTAGCAAGAAGACCATCCACCAGTTTGGGGGACGTGATATTTGATGTTTCTACGGGGGTGATGTTTTAGCCGATGCTCGGGGATGGTCTGCATTCAAAATAACCTTTTGTCCACCACAGTTTTGCTTCACACATGTTAGGCCTCTGGGACCTTCATCTATAGCTGTGCAGTTGTTTTCAACTATGACAAAGGGGACAAAACGTTAGTAGTCAGTACACTTGCCGTAGCCCTCAACCAGAAAGTCGGGGGATGTTGCACTCTTGTTGTGATACTGTTGTTATTTTATATTTCGTCGTCCTTGCTGATGCACCCGACAGTCAAGAGGGCCTGATCGAGGGTATGCCTTCGACACTGTGTCTACTCAGAGCTGCACCCCGAGAGAGATACTTTTCTAATCCTGGGGGTTCCTTAACGTTTCTTGTGGTGTACTTCAGCAACAACAATGGGGGACAGCTCGACTTGGAAAACTGTCGGAGTCCCTTCCCAGGTGTCGCAAGTCCTAGTTTTGGCTGTGTTCTTGATGTCATGTCATGTTCAGCTTATTGCCGGGGCCTCAGCTGTGCGTGCCTGTAGGGGGACTTTCCGATTGTCACTTTTGCCTCTGCTCGAAGCAGCAGCGAAGCAGGGGACTCATCGAGGGAAACCGTTACAGTTGCCCATGCCTTATAGTTGGCGTAGTTGGCATTGGTTGTTAGCCGTTTTCCACTTGTTGATCCTTCCTTCGGTGATAACAGTCCTTCTGCAACACATAAAGTAAACAAACTGCTGGGGACATGCTGGGAACTAGGAATGTTGGTAGCAAATGTGTCCTTTTCTCGTGTTAGTTGTAAAAGCATGCCCAGCAATGAATTCATGGGTAAACTCGGGGGAATAACTCCGGGAAATTTGGGGGGCCAACTGGCCGGGCGACCCCTCATGCCCTGGGGAAGGAGAGAGAGAGAGAGAGAGAGAGAGAGAGAGAGAGAGAGAGGGAGACAGAGGGAGAGGGAGTGTGTGTGTGTGTGAGAGCGAGCGAGCGAGCGAGGGCGGGAGGGAGGGAGGAGGGAGGGAGAGAGCGAGAGTGAGAGAGTGAGAGAGTGAGACAGAGACCCAAAGGCAGGGAGAGGAGTATGCGGGAATAGATATCGACAAGCATATCGGCCAAAGCCTGTGTGGTACGTATGTTGTTAGACGTTTCCATATAGTATACGGATCCAAGCCACCTCCTGATTCCCCAACCCCAACCTCCGAAGCCAAACCCCATAATTTAAACCCGGAACCCGACACCTCTATAAACCCAAACCTCCAGCTAGCACCATTCGAAGATGTTAACTCATCTTTCGATCTATAGCATGTATATTGTTGACGGGGTTCAATATGTATGCAGTATTTCTACAGAAACATATAGTTGCAGGATATGTCATTGGTTTTAATTATGTATATATGTACGATTGCAACTCATTAACAACCTAGTACTACTTATAAGCTCAACAAGTGTCTTCAGCTTGGAACTTTGCGAGGGTATTGATGAGGCCCGGGGTTTAACTTGGGTTTTCTGGTACTGGCTGAATCTTAGAAGAGTTTCGATGTCCGGGTCACGAGGTGCCCCATGCATGGCGAAGCCGGTGGAGAATCCTGTGATTGCCGGGAAACACCCTGCCAGCCTGGGCAGCTTCCGGGCAAGCAGCCAGGATGCCCAAAAAGAACCATCGGAACCTGAAACCCTGAAACTGGGTGGGACCGCGCCCCATGGAACTCCCGGACGTGCTGTGGTCAAGCCGAGCCAGTCCCCCAAGTATGTACTTGCTGCCACGCCTCCAGCAGCCCCAATGCCAGGCAGTTGCGCAGACATCCCTGCAGGAGCCAAGGGTTGGAAGGACTTGCCCAAAACCCCTAGCACCAAGCGCAGCCGAAGCCGTGAACTGCCTAGCCCCGATGGCTCTGCTGAGGCCAGGCTGCACAACTGCTGCTNNCCCGCACATGTCGGGGGCGCCGACTGGCGCGTGGGCAAGGGGGGCAACCTCCTTGCCCACAACCTTGCCGAAAGAAAAAAAGAGAATCCCCCCCCCCGGCCACCGGCCCCCAGCCCCCACCGGGACGGCAGCCCCTCGCAACGAGGAACCAGCAGCCACAGCAACGGCAACCATGCAAAGCACGGGAGCAGCAAGTTCAACAGCAGCAGCCACCGACAACCCGCGGGGACCTCGCCCGCTCACACCGCAAGGCCACCAGCACGCCCCGCCATGCGCAGCAGCAGGACACCCACTCTTCGGAGCACCAAGCACCCAGACACAGGAGGAGATGATAGCCACCGCCCTCCTTATCGAGGCGGGACAAGCAGACAGGGTGGCATGGACGGGCGGCCGCAACCCATACCAGGACACAGCAGAAGCCACAGTGTCTGACGCCACAAGTCTGACCCCTTTGGAGGAACAGCAGCAGCGCTAGCAGGAGGAAGGGGACAGCCCAGCACACAAGCGCGGCCGCGCAACAGCAGCACCACAGCAGCCTGAACCTGAGCCTAGCCACGCAGCAGCCTCCACGCAGCTGTCCTCGGAGCCATGCCAAGCAGCAGCGGCATCACAACAACACCCAGAGCCTCCTGCACAACAACAGCTGACCTCGGGGCCCCACCAAACAGCAGCGGCATCACAACAACACCCGGAACCTTCAGCATACATGATCCTCAGAACTCAACAACTCCTCACGCAGCTCATGCCGACTCTGGTTGGGGATCAGGTCCCGGTTGCAGCAGAAGCACTTAACCAGCTACACCAGTGGTCACGGGGCTTGTGGAGCCATGACGTTCAGCTGGTCAGGGACTCGGGGACAGATTCGTGCGAGTCATTAGCGGCCACCGTGCTGATGAAGTCCATCCTATGCGGAGCACCTGGAGCGCGCACCAGAGCTGTGGAAGCCAGCGGGGAAGCAGACACGCAGGGACAAGTTCAACAACTGCAGCCTGGACTCAGCTGACGTGCCGGGGAGAGAAACGGAGGACGAGGCATTCGGGCTAGCAAGAAGAAGAAGGAGCACGACTACGGGGACTAGACGAAGAACAACGCCGCCTGAGCGGGAAGCAAGTAGGCCCGGGGACCAGCCGGAGGAGGCGACTTCTCACAGGCGACGTAGATTGCACGCAGCCTTGTCTGATGATTGAGGCCTTGTTGGTTAGTCTGATGATTGAGGCCTTGTTGGTTAGGGGACGAGGAGCATGCATAGGAATTTTTGCTTTTCAAACCGCAAGTGCAACGCAAGCGTCGGGGCAGGAACAGCAAACCAGCACCAGCACCCACACCGTGAGCCGGGGCCGATGTGTGTGATGTTCCCCTAGTGCCCCTTGCGCCTTGACCCTATGTTTCCCAACCCAAGCCCGGCTCACTCTACACCACAACCTTCCACTGGCAGGAACCCTCCCTAGCGCGTGTGATTGTTTCCCTATCTCTCTTGTGCCCCTAGCTTGCTTCCTGACGGGGAATCCTGCCCACACTGCACAACTTAGGCCACAAACCGTAAAGGCAAGCAGTCAGTCAACAAGGGGTTGCCTTCAAGGTGTGAATTTGTTGCTCGGGCCATAACGCCCTTTCTCTAACATCCAACGGCAAACCGGGCCACTTAGCCCCAAATCCTAGATTCTTTGCAACTCACCTGTCGTACTCTGATAAGACTTCGGGGGACCGAAAGCGTCAGTTCGATTTCGTATGACCTTGACTTAAGCCGGGGGGGGAGTCCATCAGGCCGTCAGTCTTGGCGGCCTACTCGCCTAGAACCTCACAGCGGGGATTCTGCATAAGCCCATGGGGTCGCAAAGTTTTTTTGTTGTGCAAGGTGACACTACACCGTCGCCTTCGAGAATGCATACTTCCTGGAATGGTGGACTGGGGGACGGGGATCAAACCCCGGAACAGGCTCCAGACCCGCCGGACAAGCCCGAAATGCCAACGAGAGACGACCGCGCCCAATGACGACTATGCTGAGAAGCTCACCCAGAGCTCCATTCGCGATGCTATCCGTGAACAGCTTCGCGAGGAACGCCACATTTTAACCGGGGAATTGCGAGACGGTCTTGCTGAAGTACATCAAAGAATCGACACGGTTGAAAAGACAACCACCACCCCCATCAATCACAGACAAACACATACAGCTGCATGCCAAAATCGACAAGATCGAGGAACTAGCCGGCAACTTGGGCAACCGCCTGGAGCTCTTACAGGGCAAGTTCCCCACAGCCCAGTTCTCAGTCAGCACAAGAGGATCAGATGGTTCCTCTACGCAGGCCCCCAGGCCTGCTAGTCTTCGGGGGATGGTCCTCAAAGCAAGCTGCATCCGAGACATTGAGATTCGTGAAGCAGCATGTGGCACAACTGCGCTCGGACCTCGACATGGAAGAGGCCTTCATCCCAGGACTCCGCAGGGTATTTTGCCACTGGCCCCTCGTGAAGGGGAAACACAGCTGCGACGAAGAGTCCAGGAGGCACTGCGGACCGTTCGAGAAGCCAAAATCATCACCGGACCGAGACCCGAAGGTGGGAACAAGTACTTTTTCGCCACCATGAGCCAGCCGATTGAACATCGACGCAGTGACCAGGCCGTAGGAGGAGGGAGTCAGTGGTGAGATGCCAGCGCGGCCCAGAATGGTGCCAGGCTCTTGCGGCCTCGTCGGGCTGCTGAGAATGAGAGTCCGAGACCGGCAGCAAGCTCGGCGGCACCATCCACGACACGATCGGACCTACGGCGGGCCTTGAAGGGCCTCGATCGCTGCACGCTGACTCAAAAGCTGCGCATGGAAGAAGCGTTACTGAGCTGCGCCGGGTGATGACGCAATCTGGTGGGACAATCTTGGGGTTTGAATCCGACGATGGTGTACTCGAATCCTCAGATTTCGGGGGATACTTGATGTTCCGAAGTCACGGAAAGTTACGTGGAAGGTCTAAAGTTTAAAGTGCTCATCCCGACCATGGAAACAACCGGTTCAATTGGAGGCCCAAGTGCTTCGGGGGAGCACGCTATCCCTCGTGTGTCATGTTGGATGGGCTGTGCTGATGTGTTTCATGAACTGCTAGAGTGGATGCCGGCGGACGAAAACTGTTGGAAACCTTAGATGGAACAACATTTGCAATGAATTGCAAGTGCGCATTCGCATGCAAGAGGGGGGACGAGTCCGTTCCTTCTTCATGCCTCGTCAGAGAGGGGGAGAGGGGGACAACGAGAGGGATGAGAGGGAGAGGGAGCCCTTGGTGGCACTCAACGCCCGCAACTGCAACTGTCTCCAGCATTTTCGTGCCTTCCTTTGGATGAGGCTGATCATATTCGCAGCACTACTTCTCGTGGTCTTCTTCGGTTTTGCTGTCGCATTTTCGCAGCTTGTCATCACACCAGACTTCCAGATTCGTCCATCGTAATTAAATTAAACAGGAGCGAAGCAAATTGCCCATGAGCCGCGCGCCACCGTCAGCATGCCATGCCAAGTTGCTAAGGCTCGGCTTGGGGACAAGTGACAAGAATTTTGTTACCATTCCTGGCTCATTTCTCGCGCCTGTCTTAGACACATTCCCCATCAGCTTTGCCACCTAGCCCGGACATTGATCTCAGGTCCTGTTCTTCCTGTTGATCGACGGCTACTCCATAGATGTGGAGTGGTTCCGCCCTGGGAAGGCAGGAAGTGTTGCCAAACAAGCGGTAATTGATTTAAATTTGCATGTCAAACGGAGGACCAAGTGGTGACGTTGATATTCTTGGGCTACATCGCGACAAGCTCGGCTGCGACAATTGCTTTCACTGTTCTGCCTACTTTAGCCTTCCGTCGCAACGTGCTCATCCTCGCAGATTATTGTGGCACTAGGCATTGATCTACTTCGTACTTCTGAACATCTTCGTGGCCATTGTCCTAGATACATTTTCGTTGGCTTCCAGACTGTATGCGGTGGAGGCGAACAAGAAGAACCCGATGATTGTAGCTTGCATCTTTTTGATATGAGCAAAGGTCGCATGCAGAGAGATTGCAAAGAGTGAGGCATTCAGAATCCCAGCCTCAAACCGAGGTTTTCCTTCACACGTATTACAACTGGATGAAGGGGCAATCGCTTGTTAAAGACGAGGCAGAGGAGCACATGAATCCCAAGGCCAGGCCAGAGCACATGGATGCTATTTTGAATTTACCTGCTTCGTCAGGATCTCTCGATCACTCTCGATTTGCTTCCGGGCCTGGTTCGTCGAAAGTGGGTCGAAAAGAAACGCAGGACGGAACAGTAAACAGCGACGAGCTGTACAATGCCGTCGTACTGGTGGGGCTAGGGCCATCTGCAGACGCCCGATCTGAGGATGCAGTATGTTGCCGACCAGAACTTTGCAGGCATGGACCTCTTTCCCGAGGACTCAGCAAGTCTCGTCACCAGGCAGGCATGCTTCTATCCTTCGTACTTACTTCTTGTGCAGGATGTAGATCGTTCTTTGTCGAAAAAGGCGGATAACATCGTCACCGAACCTTTGCTGCACCGTCGCTTCATGAGGGCACGTCTGTTGGCACCCCTGGTGCTGAGCCTTGCGAGAGATGTTGGGGCTGGACCCTGCTGAAGCGTAGCAGCGGGGTTGCAGAGCGCTGCAAATTCGACGGTCCTTGGGTCTGTGGTTCTCATCGACTGCAGTCAGCGCCGACAGTCCAACTGCGTGAGAGCAGACGGCGTTCAATCTTCAAGCACAGTTTGCAACATCAGGAGAACATGCTGTTTTCGTGTGGTGATGGTGTGGAGTAGCTCAAGGATTGGATGTTGCCAAGCACACAATCGGATGTCTTTGACCAGATGACAGCTCCGATCGAGCACAAGCAGCATGGCTTGCGCTTGCTCTGTGCAGTCTGCAGATACTTGAAGTTTCTTTTCACACCGGGGCGCAGTCGGTAAGGTCTGCCCGAGTTGAGATTCAGAGTTTGTTTGGTTTCATGGCTAGAGGCCTCTGGCGCTGTACGATATCCCGCCGAGCGTAATGAAGCAGGCAGTGTTGTGTGGGCTCTAGACTTCTTGCCACGTCGTCACATGACAGGAGATCAGCCGGGCGCAGCTCCAGCGACTAATGGACGAGGTGCATCGAACTCGCATGCCATTCCTGTCAAATCACAGGCGCAATTTGATGCTGCAGGATTCCACGATTCCACTTCTACTTGGCAGCAAACGCGCAGTGGACGTAATCCGCAAGTTCAAGTCTGAAGAGCGGGAGGACCGAATGGGTTGCACAGTGGCAGTGGATGACTAAGTCTTGTGCAGATGGACAAGGAGTCTGGAAACCCCGTGAGCGCCGTGAAATCCATGCAGGCAAAGACTTTCTGACGGTGAGTGAGATCAATTGCATCAATAGTCACGAACTGTCACTGGTGGATGCACGGCACGCTGGCCTTGGCCTTTTTGCCTGCATGTCAGGGGACGATCTTCGCTCGCATTGACAAACTGGAGCCTTGCGCTTAGAACATCTGCTCGTGTTTCCATCTTTAAGTGAACCAGCATGGTATTATTGGCAGGCACAGAGCTGGTTTCTGGAGGATGCGAATGATGTGAAACCACACGCAGCATGAATGATCGTGATATATTCAAAGCACTCCATGCCAAGGACTTTGCCAAGCGAACGTAATGTCACACCTCCATCCCTGATGCCTAGCAGGTACAGGTGGCCGTGCAGTTGGTCGTGACAGTGTGGTGTTGCCCTGTAGGGTTTGGTACTCGGAACCACTGCTTGTCTGGTCGTGTTTTGTCCGGTCCTGTGCAAGGGCGGCCGGGAGATCGGAGAGAACAAGAAAGCAAGGAATGCCGGAAGGGGAGACGGATGGAAGCTGAGAACCCAAACAGCTCCGCGGCAAGACTTGCGTGCACCTACACCCTTCAGCAGTTTTGGACAAAATCCCGCAAACGGCAGACTATCCAGATTTACGCTAGAGCTTTGTCATCGTTGGGAAAGCAGGCAATCAACACCGACCGTTCGTATTCATCGTCAACTGCAACCACCTAGCAAAAGTGAAATTAAACAGATTGAGACCTTGCATGACTTTGCACTTCGTGAGGTTCCGAGATCTCACGCATGCATGGCTGTAGCACAGCAGTGGCAGTGTAACGCTGCATTTGCGAAAGCAATTCCGTGCAAGTTCCTGCTTGCTGACACTCTACGAGACCTAGCAAAACTTCCCTACTATGCCAGGCCTGAAGCTGATTTCATGGAGAGTGAATCGTTGTGGGTGGGAATGATGACGACTCCGCACAAGCCGAAGCGAATGCGGAAGGGCTTCACGGTTTTCATCTCGAGCGCTCAGTCAGCACGGTCACGACTCCAGCTTAAAACACCTGAAGCCCTGAACCACGGTACGCCAGCCTCAAAGCTACCGTGACTAATTGGAAAGCCAGCGGCATGTCGTAAGCCCCCTGCAAATGCGGCACATGAGCGTCCCATGTTCGGCTTGACTCTGGCGAGGCGTGTCAAATTGGACGACGATGTGCCGGAGGTGGGTGTGTGTGTGTGTGTACGTGCGAGGTAATTCTGTTGCAATGCAAGGGTTGGTGCCCGCCCGGCAGCGCTGTTTCAGGTGCCTGAAATCTCACAGGTGGCGGAGCAGATGAGCGGTGCCATCCTGGACTTGAGGCTTAGAGACTTCCGATGAGCCCCGAGAAGAGCAGAGTGGTTGTGTAAGGCCTTCAAGATTGAGGGCTCTAGCTGACTTCGCGACGCAGGAACCAGTTCCGTGTGCAGCTGACGGGTGTCATCGAGTGCACAGCAGTGCTCTTTGAGCACCTCGTTGAGCTGACGCAGGGCTTGGACGAGGCACTGCCAGCAGGTGGCCGAGCAGATGCGGCGAAGCTTGATTCGTGTCAGGTACGGCAGAACAGTGATGGTGTTCTGCAGCTGGTTCGAAACAACAAGTTCCAGGAAACTGGCCTTGGCTACTGAGATCACCGGTCCAGTCTCACCGCGTTTCACGAATTCGGTTTCACAGCAGATTTGACAGGTAGGGACGTTAAGGCAGGGTAAGTCTACTCAGACACTTCGGTTGAACCCGAGCCACGACACAACCTGTTCAAGTCCAAGTTTCGACGCTTCATGCGCCTCACGTGCCCAGCGCACTTCAGCGATTCTTGCGTCGTACGGCCAAAACTGCAACTTCAGGAAGCCATTCTTGCATCTTTCCCGCTTGGATCCGTTCTCCAGGTGATGTGATGCTGATGTACTTGCTCGGTTGGTTGCAACACCGCTAGAAGTGCTGTCGGAAGCGGACTAACGAAGGAGCGTGCGATCCACGCGGAAGCTGCATCTCAACGAGTGGCCGGGCTCTTGCAGGTGCTTGGGGCTGTCGCTTGGGGCACAGCACGAGGGCGCGAGCTGGGAGGAGCTGCGACGGGACGTCACGGAGATCTTCGAGGACGGCAGGCCGGCCCAAAGGAGACGAGGCAGAAGTCGACTTCTTTCGACCGAGGCTCTCGCCGCGCAGCCTCGGTGGCGAGGTGCTCGGGGGTCTCGGGATGGTCTCGGGCCTAGTCACGGCCTAGTCGGCGGCGGGCGGACTTTTTCTGCAGGAGCTGCGCAGCCTCGTCGCCGAGCAGCGCTTGCCGTGTGCTTGGATGTCGTAGTCTTGTGACTGGCTTTTGGTGGTAAACACTGTAGATGCCCCGATTAGTGTTTTAGTGGTGTTGGAGTGTTTTCGGAGTGATTTTGTTTGGCAGCCTTCTGTTGCAGGCTAGCTACGATGCAAGTCTTTTGGAAGGCTTTCTATTGTTAGCTAGATAGGTTGCAAGTCTTTTGTAAAGCTGATCGGGTCATCTCAGACTAGGAATCACTCCTGGTTTGCAGAGGCTAAAAAGGCACTGTGTCGAAACTCTCCAAAATCACTGGGAAAACGCTCCTGGTTTTGCAATAGCAAAACAAACACTGTGCCGAATGACTCCAGAATCACTCCAAAGTCACTCCGCTCCTAGGAAATAGTGATTTCGGAATGATTCTGGAATGATTTTGTGAAGGACTTCGAGGAATTTGACGAGAATCACTCCAAAATCATTCCGAAATCATTCCGTTCCTAGGGAAAATTGAGAATACCAGGAGGAGTGATTCGGCACAGTGCTTTTTTAGCCTCTGCAAAACCAGGAGTGATTGCCTAGTCCTAGTGATTAGGAGTGATTCGGCACAATGGTGTTTGTAGCCTCTGCAGAAGTACTGTAATGATTGATTCGGCACAATGGTTTTTGCAGCTTCTGCAAAAACAGGAGCGATTTCCCGGCGACGTGGAGTGATTCGACTTGCGCAGAACCTGTAGCGATATAGCATTGGAGAACCTTGGATTATCCGAGTCTTCAAGAATTGGGTCTGATGCGTGGGGTTCTGGAACGAGGGGGTGTTTCCACACTTTGTCAATCGATCATGATGTTGGAACCAAAACGAGCCCCACCGACTACAGTGCCAAAACGAAAGCACCGCAAAAGAGCTCGAATAAGAGCTAGCAGCAAGCCTGCGAAAACACTGCGAAACCACTAAAAGTACTATGTTGATGGTCACAGTGAATACCACAAATGGATGTCACAATCGTAGTCTCGCGTAGGGAGAAGCCAGTGTGACGTGAGTCGACCGAAGTCGTAGAACCTGAATTGGCGAAGTCCTCAAGCAGCTTGAAACCCTGCCTCTTCCACGACAAGTCTGGATGGCAGTCGCTGTTGCAAGCTTTCTCCAGAGTCGCATTGACAATCCAGACGGTGTTTCGGCAACCGCACCCTGTCATGTTTTTCATTTCCTGTCGTGTTCGTGACTGCTGGTTCACAGTGCTCGATGCCTGCGTCATCCTGCATCCGTCTATGCGGCCGTTGAGATTTAAGTGCTCGCCAAATATGAAGTGCACTCCCAGGTCGCAACTGGAGGTTGCAGTTTGGTCTCTGTATCCCGGCCTAGCAAGGCTTAGCAAGGCTTAGACGGGAAAGCAGCCTTGGCCCCGACTTGGCTTTGAGGCAAAGCATGGAGCTCCCGGAGGTGCAGTTGGCCGTGCACGCGCAGGTTGCTGTCACTTGGCATCTTCGCGCCTGATTCACCCGGCTTCACGAGGATCGACGCCTCGCAGACTTGGAGACAGGACCACAAGGGCAGGACGTTCTGCAGGCATGCCGCGTCGCGCGCACAAGCTCCGCCGTTTTCGTGAGAAACGAGATCTTGTGCCAGGCAAGGCATGCTGCAGATTTCATTGTCGAGGCAAAGTCAGAACACATGGACGCATCAAAATTGACTTGGCAGTGCGACAGGATGGTAGCCGTATGTCCGAAGGCACCGGGGCAGCGTTGTGAAATCTGAACGCCGCCATTGAAGATTGGCCGCTCAGAAGTGTAGGGGCCTTAACAATTAATTAGAATAGGGTTGGGCCTTAATAAATAATTGGAATAGGGTTGGGCCTTAATAATTATAATAGGGTTGTGGAGTATGCTTCGGGAGGCCGTCCGTGTGAGCCCGCTGAGGAGTCCTGCTTAGTCGAACTGCATTCTCTTCAAAAAGCCATGCTGGCAGACAGTTGTTGAAGGAGCTTCGCCAGTCGGTGGCTGAACAGCGCGTGCCTGGTGCCTAAGTGTCAGGTTGGGCGAGCAGTGGCGACGTGGCATCTAAAGCGCCAGGTCGCAGTTGGAAGCTGCTCTTTGGTATCTGCTCCTCTGCAGCAGAGGAGCACGTTGTAGTGACTGCGACCGTCGCACGTCTGTGAGGCAGAGGGAGCTTCCCGAAATGCAAGGAGCGTTACATTCCCAGGACAGAGAGGGCTGAGAGGCGCGAGAGGCAGAAAGCACGTGCCACTTTGAGGACCGGCGGCTCCTGAGCTTGGAATCTCGACTGGATGCGCAGGCGGCGCAGGCATTGCAGGCCCAGGACACGGTCCAGGTGTTGCCTTTCTAGTTTTCGGGCCTTACGGAAGCAGAGGTCTCACCAGCAGAGGTGGTCGAGGACATCGCGTCCTTGCTTGACGCTACAAACAGCTTCGGCATAGTATTGCAGATCCCTGGCCCTAGCCGATATTCTGGTGCCATGTGAGGAAGCTTTGCAGGATGTGGCAGATGCAGGCCTTGTTTATTGCAAGCATCGTCGGGTTTCATGCGTTGCGATCCAGCAGAAGCAGCCAAACGTGCTGCAGCAGTTTCTAATTGGTTTCGTGCAACATTGTGGTCTCTTTTGTGTAACGACTGTTGTTTGCAATTGCGACCAGCACCTTCAAAGGAAACGAATCAGCGGTGCGCGTTTTGGCTTCTTCCCGTACTCTTCATCTTGCCAGGCAGGACTCTTGTCGCTGATGCACACGAGCAGGGCGAGGCAAACCGGCAGCAAAGCATAAGCACACCCTTGTTCAGCATTTTTCCGTATGGCAATGCTACCAGGTAACGAGCAATGCCGGCGAGGAGGCCTTGTCGCAGCATGTCACAGCAGCACACTTTAGATGTAAAGGCTGGGCGGATCCGGGCGGTTAACCCCTAGAAACAACGGTGGATGTTTGAAGGACATCGCGGGCGGGCAACCCTAAAGAAACCCGAGAAGGAGATGTTCGGTAAGCAAGCGCCAGACATCCAACAGAGATTTTTGGTCGGCAGACTCTGTGGAGATGTGTCTTATGTTGCCATGCTTGCCGGCAATGCCCGTGTTGTGGGGTGTTCGGGTCTTAATCCGGCGCTGTCCGGCATGTATGCGTTCGTTGTGTGATTCAGGGCACCACAGCAGCCAGTCCAGTCCATACTGCCATACAAGATTGCGCAGTCATGCGGGAGACAACCCTTTCAGAGGCAGCTGGAGGGCATCAGTCTATGAGGCACGGCTCAAGGTGAACCCTAGTGGCAGAGTCGCTTGGTGCTGATGTTTTCGCTTCAGGCGAGTGCCGGCAGCTTCAGGCAGCTCACGCAGTCGTGATGCAGTGCACGGTGCAGAGGACGGTGGTGGGCCGAGCATGTCTCGGTCTTCCACGTCCGGCCCGTCCGGCCCGGAGACCGGCCCGGAGACGAGCGCCGGCCCATCCGCCGGCCTCAGCCAACCCGGGCCCTCTGGCCGAGAGGATGCGGTGGTACCGGTGGTACCGGTGGGAGTGGGAGGCGACGGTGATGCAGGCAGCGGGGAAGCGTCCGGGCCCGGGGATGGCGCTGCAGGGGCGGAGGCCTGGCCGTCGCCTGGGCCTGGGCCGTGGAGCGTCCGCGAGCGCAGCGAGCGCAGCGAGCGGAGCTCGGAGCGAACGGAAGCGGCGGGGGATGGGGCAGCGGGATTGGCTGGAGAACGCGAGACGGACATGCTACATCTGTCCGCTCCGTCTCGTCGCCCGGGGCCGGGACCAGGACCATCAGGGCACCTCGGTCCATCAGGCGGCGATGGTGCTGCTGGCAGAAGTGGTGGATGCGAGTCCGAAGTCGGACACGTTTTACAGTCCTTGGGTGGAGACGGTGCCGCAGGTGGAGGCCTTGATTGCGGCCCACTGTGAAACAGTCGAGTTCTGTCCTGCTGCATTCGCTTCAGCAGGCCGTGCCCGCGAGGGAGATTTTGGTGGCGGAGCCCCAAGCATGAACCCAGAAGCTCCAGAGGCTCGTCCGGTATGGCTTTGTGATACTTGGCGCGAAGTTGTGGCTGAGCCGACCAGGGGAGCCTTGTGCAGGGCCATCCGATGCCAGACGAAGCGGACCGTGCTGCGGTATCTTGTCACAGCATCTAGATCTGGCGGCTCGTACGGTATTGGCGGGCGGTGCACATGTTCACACAGTGACGAGTTAGGCTTGTGAAAGTGCTTTTTGTGTTTGATACCAGTTAGGAAGCAAACAATGAAGCAGCTGCTGAAGCCGTTGCACCTCGAATTTTTCAGCTTTCAGGTTAGAGCCTCGCGCCGCCATGTCAGGGCCTTCACGTGTCAGCCCTGTAGTGATGACGGCACTAAAGGTGCGTAGTGAGGTTTCCGAGGACGTGCTGATGGACATTTTAGCCGAGTTCCGAGTGTCTCATGGTTAGCTGCAGTTAGTCTTGTTACGCATCTCCCCCCATCCTTGGCAGCTGGCCCGAAAGGCATACTTTCCCAAGCCTTCAGGAAAAGCCTTGTGAAAGTGTTGCGCGAGAAAGATCTAGTGCGTTTCCTCCCGCAGTTGCAAGAAATGGCAGGCATCGCTAGTCGCAGTCCTCGAAGAGCACGAAGCCGAAGCACCGCTCGGCGAAGAGAGAACCCGAGTGGCCGCCACGAGCCGTCAAACGGTACCTGCACTCCAAGAGCGTCAAGCTGGTGCTCAAACTTGTACTTGAGGTCGGTAGCTAGGGCAGCCTCGCTACACTGAAGAGCGACCACCAGAGCACACTTAGGAAGGACACTTCCAAGCCAAGGGCTTGGTCAAACTTGATACTGTAGACCTTTGCACTGCACAGCCTGTTGAAGGTCACTAAAAGGCAACCAACGGTCGTCCACCTAGCCGTAGCCTGTGACTTTGGCCTTTATGCTGGTGTCTGCTCCCAGCACGAAACACGCCCAAACATGAGTGAGCGCAGCTGCCACCACAGGCGAAAGCGAGCATCCCTGCGGCAAGCCACGTCCAGCATGACGCCATGCCGTGCCCAGTACCCCTTCCAAGGACTCCGGGGCTCACAGATGGCGAAGCACCTCAGCAGTGAGTCTGTGGTCCTGGCTGTCGAAGAAACCCGAGACGTCTTGTTGCACAGCGCCTTGGCACCTATGATACCGCTCTCTCTGGAGTTGCTGCAGAGCGATGTGCTGGGGAGCCCTCGCAATCGAAGGCTTGCCGCCAGGAGTGGCACCACTCGCGAAGTTGTTGGTTCAACAGTCCCGCGCCAGCACGCCACATAAGTCGCAGAATGGTGATGGGCCTCGAACGCCCGTTAGCCGTCCACAACAAGCAAGAGCGCCCGCAACACCATAAAGAAGGAAGGAACTTTGTGGCACTGAAGACACCTTTGCCAGAGAGTTGTGGCAAGTTGCCACCATGCCGATGGCAGCTGAAGGAGGGCTGAGGCCGTCCATCCGTCAGGCCCCGGTGCTTCACGCTTCATGGCCGAAACTGCAGGCTTCAGGCGCTGGGCTTCGATGTCAAAGCTGACGGTCTTAATCAGAGGCTGGGGTACCTGTTGCAGGACAGCAGCAATGTCAGCATTGCTACTGAGAGCACCAGCCGACCATCCACACTTCCTCCTGGATGTCAACTTCCACCGCCGGGTGTTGACCACTCACAAGGATGCCACCGCTGGCAATGTTCCCGTTCGCGGTCCGCAACCTGGTCAGCCATGCGCTTAACGGCTTAACGTAAGCCCGCGGCACATCAACGTGGTGCCTGACCTCGTTGATCCAGCGAACTCTGGATGCAGTGTTTTCCTGTGCGCATAAGCCCGCCAAAAATTATACAGAACCCCACCGCCGAACTTTCAGGGATGTCGGCTTCAGGGAGGATGATGATATCCACTGGCTTGGTGCGAACAAAGGAGCAAAGCCGATCATGGATGCTGATGCCCGCCTTGTTGGCATTCACCGTACCAGCATGAATCAGAAACGCGGCCACAACGCTCGACTGAGGATGACTTTGGCATGAACGAACATGTCGAGCCCTTGCTGCCGTATCTCGCCCTCGGTCTTGCTCCTGACGAAGTGGTCTCGATGTGCCTCCAAAGTTTTAAGGCGGTGGCGGGCTTTAGGTCCGGACCATGGTTTATTGGTGTCGCGGGCCGTTCGGCTGCCCAAGCTGCGGGTGCCGCAGGGGACTGCAGTGAACACCAGCCACGAGCGAGAATGTCGGCCCAGGCGACGCTGGAAGCGCAGGAGTCCCAGGCCATTGAGGACAACGTCGTGGAGCATGGGGATGGAGCACTCGCGGATGGTACAGTGGTGGAGGCGACGACAGATCCCATGCCAGGAGCAAGCCAGAACCAGACCACAGAGCTCTTCCCGCCTTGCATCCAGAAATAGTATTTGCTGGCCGAGCACAACATCGTCCTGACGGCGATCGCGGGAGACTTCTCCCCACAGCAGGTGGGGCAGAGCTTCAAACCAATTCCCTGGATGAAGTTCGACCCAAACCTACCTCAGCGAGGCCATGGACGAGACAGATGATGAAGATGCCGGCAGCGAAGGAAAGAGATCACGGCAATTGGCCTCGCTCGCGGTCATGTTCCAGGCCAAGCGCATCTTGAAGGAGGCATGCCAGAAGCAGCGCTGCGTGAAGCAGAGCAGAAAGTACTTCCAAGGAGGCCCAGGAAAGAGCGGGGCTTCCTCTTCCAAGCCTCGCGACGACTCCAACATCGAGTGCTTCAGATGTGGGAAGCAGGGGCACAGGGCAGCGGACTCCTCTTACAAGCCCGTCGCAGCTCAGGCAAGGCAGATGACCGGCCCCAGCAGGCGCCCGTCATGTGCTACAACGAGAAGGCGACGAACGATCACATCAACGGCTACGCCCTCGGCGACACCAACGAGACGAAGCACGAGGAGCGCCGACGTCGAGCACCGGCCTGTCAGCGAGTGAAGCGGTGCTAAACGGGATGTGTGTGTGTGTGTCGTGGACGGTGGGGCGACCCAGACTGTGGGCAGCATTCGAACAGTGGAAGCAGTCTTGGACCAGAACCCACGGCGCCATGGCACCCGTGACCCTCCCACGTTCTCTAAGAACAGTACAGAGAACAAGTGCTTGAGCACGGCCTTGTTGAAGGTCACAGCGGGGGATGCGCCTGGAGAACTCCGGGTGCACGCACTCGATCACAGGCAAAGCCCGATAATTTTCAGCATCGAAGCCCTTCGTCGACTGCAGGGGCGATCAGCGACTTCGAGGCTGACCTGATAGCCTTTTGCCATCTTGATGATAAGAAGATTGTTTGGTTGGCTAGGGGAAAGTCCGGTCATCAGCTTCTTCCCTTGACTGACGACTGGATGGCGAATGCACAGGAGGCCTGATCAGCTGTTCCGAGTCTTGCAGCCTGTTTGAAACCATAGGGACAGCTCCTTTTGTTTTCCGACCCTACAGAGGACGAAAGGTCAGATGTGAATGATCAGGGAGGGGTACACCTGAGAGAGCCTGTGCTGAGCAACTTGGGGATAATTGATGTGAGATGTGAGGGTTATGTTCAGGATTGCAGGATACATGAACCTTCGGACGTACCGGAAGCCAGTACACCAGTGTCAGCCAGATCTGATGTGAGTGTGAAGTCCGTGGAGCACAGTCGAGACGATCAGGAACCATGTTGTGAACACGTTTGCAGTGATCCTGGCTCAGGACATAGTCTTCCTTTGTGTCCCGCTTCGTGCTGCTCACCATGGACGACAAGATGACCAAGGCCGAGCTCCCCCTCCACCTGACGAGTGTGGGCGAGGAGCAACCAAAGCTGGGGCCGCCTCGAGCTGAAGCAGCGCCCCGCCGAAATGGGGTTTGCCGAAATCGAAACCTTTCCCTTTCCAACCTTCGTGGATGCCCTTGTGTCCCTGGTCTCTTTTGCCCTTCGAACGGGGACAGTGATTTCATCAAATGGGCTCTTATGTTTTCTCGTCTCATCGTTGTTACGAGCATGACGCATCAGCTTGTGCATCGTATTGGCAAAAACCTTTGCCGCGACTATCCAAATCGTTACCCACAGGTGCGTGCCTTCTTTGACAAAGCCTTCCTGTACGTTACCCTTCAGATGCGGGCTGAGGTGATGAGTTGGCCCAAGCAGCACGAGCTCAACCGTCCGGCGTCTAACAGGGTCACTGAACCGGGGTGCTTCCCGTTATGGAAGTGCCCGCATAAGTGGCCTTAGCTGCCGCATAGGTGACCTTAGCAGGTACCCGTCAGGCGGCTTGCTGCGTCCGTGAACGGCTTGGGAGCAGATTTCTTCAGCAACACAAGACACCGTTGGGCATACAGGTCTTCGGTGCCACAGAAATTATTAGCAGGAGCCACAACAACCAAGGCTTTCATCTTTTGGCTGGAAGCAGTAGTGCAAATTGTTTGCATAGCAGCTGCATCTGGAACCTGGGTGCTTGTTGGATACAATTTTTCATTTTTGTTATTTAAAACTCAATAGGGGTTAAAGATGATCATTTTTGATCTAGCCCCAACAGGGAACTAGGAACCCTGTCAGGAGATGTAGTGTGCTTCGTCCACAACTCTGCCAGTGAACACGCGCTAAGGAAAGGCTACTCGAAAGACCCAGCCTTGACCAACCTGTTAGGCTGGTTCTGGGCATGGGTCGCTAGTAGGGACCTCAAGGTTGTTTCCGTTTACAAGCAAGGCTAACCTGTCAGACGGAGTCTCGAGAAGAGACTGGGGACGACCTGCTAGGCTGTGAAAGGAGGACACCCCAGCTTAGTGCAGCGCGGGAGCTCCTGTTCGAGCTCACGACAAAGCCCGTGGACCCCAACTTTTTTCTGTTCGAGAAGTTGGTCAACCGAGTAAGTGGTCGTTCCTCGCTAGAGTGGAACTTCTGCGGACCGACCAGCTCGCCTTTGATTTCAGAGGCTTGGGCAGGTTGGCTGCGACCAGTTCGGACCACACCACGCATTGGAAAAGAACCGAACTCCTGTTCGTACACACTTTCTCGAAGCGGAGAGCTTGTCGGGCAGTGCACGTGTGCTCACAGCGACAAGTTTGGCGTGCGAAGGTCTTTTTGCGGTTGCTACCAGTAAGCTCATGAAACCGTTGCACCTCGAGTTTCAGCTTTCCCCCCACACCCACTGGGAGGAAGTTCTGCGGACCGACCATTTTAAAGGCTTGAGCAGGTTGGCTGCGACCAGTTCGGACCACACTACTCCCAGGGAGTGGAAAAGAACCGAGCACCTGATCGCACGCACTTTCACGAAGCAAAGAACTTGTCTGCCCGTGTTCGGCATAGGCTAAGGTGGTTGTTCACTCAGTCAGGGCGCTCGACTTGCTTGCTTTCGTAGCTTGGCCTCACACAGTGACAGCATCAAAACCGCGATTTGGTGGCCTTTGCCGTGCTCAAGTAAAGCCTCGTGATGGAAGCCTGATATTGGTGAGTAGATGTGAGTAGTGAGATACAGTGAAGCAAGCAGCCTTTCGGATGACTGTTCAATCGCTTGAGTTTAAGGCACCCCCTGCTGGGATCTTGCAAGGCACAGCTGGGTCAATGGGTTTGTGATTTAGTGCGATGAATCAGCACGTCAAAAGACATGTTCCTCTTGAGTTGAGCATTCTGCATCGGCGCAGATGCACACCATGTGGAGTCTGCCAGGGCATCCCCGCCAAATTCAGGAACAAGCGGCCGATTCTCGGCCGTCTGCTAATATGCAAGCTGCGGAGAGAATCAAGTCGGTTTCCTTTCATGCGAGGTTACAAAGCAGCAAACTCCTGAATGCCGCTTCAGGAATCCGAGGAGTTTTCGCCAGACTCCGCTTCGCAGGAGCGCAGCCGAGCAGGGACTTTCTGGGCACTGCACGTCGGACGGCAGGACTTTGAAGATGTCCAGCCGCAGTCCTTGGACGATGCTTTGCTGTCTCTTGTCAGCTGCCAAACTGCACCCCAGTGACCCTCACGGACCCAGTGCGGGGCGCCTGAATTCACTCACTGTTTTCCTGTCGCCTGTAGGCCGCAGTACTGGTCGCGGGCATGATCGCCAACAAAGTGATGAGCGCGATGAGGGCTCGGTGCCAGAGCCACGAAGCCGCAATTCGAGGTGCTGTGAAGGAAGCCTCCTCGAGAGTAGTTTCTGAGGTTCGATGTGTCCGAAGCACCCAGCAGGAGCACGGTGCTATCCTGTTCGCCTCGTCCGTCAGAATTGTTGGCAACCAGGGCTTCAAGCTGATGCAATCGATCCGTGAGAGGAGCTCCTCCGACTCCTGTGACCGCGAGGCTCGCAGTCTAAATTAATCTCATCAGTCGCTGCTGTAGCCTCAGGCCTGCATTCCGCCAGGAAGCTGCGATGTGACTCACAGAAGCTACTGAGCTTCTGCCTGCTCCGTTCTTGCCTCATGGCAATGCACTGCGCATACTGTGAGAGAGAGAGAGAGAGAGAGAAAGAGCTGTAATATGTAAATTCATAGCCCAAACTGAGTCCTTACTCTCATTCCTCTGTAAAACGGGGAATACCACATGTTACTCATAAACATTTCCCTTTAGTACCTTCTACCTTACCTTATTTCCCAATCGTCTGCAGTGAGCAACATCTAGAAAAGGGGGGAAACTTGTTCTTGAGAGTATACGAGTATACAGTATACATGCATCCTTGCTCGTTATCGTATACTTCATGGCTCTAGGCTCTAGCCCACAGGATGCAATATACTCGTACTTCACACCCCTTTCCCACATAAGACGTGCGGGTGTCATTTTTGCCCTGGGGTCTTAACCGACCCCTGCGCCCGGGAGAGAGAGAGGGACATCTCGATGCATGGTGCTCTCTCTCTCTCTCTCTCCCGGGCATAGGGGTCGGTCAAGACCCCTGGGCCGTATAGCCCACCCGCAATTATTTTGCGGGGAAAGGGGCTGCCTTTTAGGCTAGAGCCATGAAATCTACGATAACGAATAAGGCAACTGTATGCTCTCCATGAAACATGCAAAGAATATGAGCATGTGTCCCCCGATTCAGAATGAAGAAAGATAAAGTAGTTTAAAACGGAAAAATTCGGGGATCTCAATCAGAAACAATATTGGAAAACTCCCGACACTCAAACACACTTTTTCACACCCCCGAAAGCCCCATAAGGGGGCAATAGGCCGGGGGGTCTGACCTACCCCCTATGCCCTGAAGAAGAAGAAGAGCGAGCTGTGCCGGGTGAGATCTTGTGGGCCCTTCGCTGGAACTTATGCAGCTAAAGTACAAGGGGTCTCCTCTTCAACTAGGGTCGTTCGGGATGCTTGCCAAATGCAGCTATAAAGCGAGCTTGCATAGGGAGCTGTCCGCTGAGCTCAACATGAGGTTGTGGCGCTGGCGGTCAGAAGAACCTCCCCTGATCTCACCTTCGTTATATGCCTGCTCCTTAGGTTTCGCAGTTTCGCACCGGCTCCTGAAACAGGTGACGGAATGGTGCAGAGTTCCTTCCTCCATGCCGAAAGGTCAGGCATTCCTAGGCCCCTCCAATGTGAGTGCGGATTGTTAATGTATTTCAGGGTCCTCTGGATGCTGTTGAAAAGGCGTGCAGTGCCACACCAGCGGCCTGAATTCAGAGTTGTGCAGCCTCAGATGTCGTGTTCATGTCATCGGGAATTCAGTGTTCACAGATACTGATGGTGTTCTACACCGTCGATCACCGTCGTTGGGGCACAACATGTCACAGCATCGCAGATACGCAGTTGACAGTGGGCAGTTCTTTGATGTCAAAGCTGTTGCAATGACTTGCAATGGCATTGGCGAGTGTGGGCAAGGCAGCTAGCAGGTGCCCACTGCGTCGAGGATATTGCGTACCACCCTCTTTTCGACACTTGAGCAGGGACGTGGTGACCGAAGACGAAAAGGGTGATGAGTCTGAGCCCAGGATTGGAATCGAGTCGCAGACAAAAGATAACGCTCTGCCCCTTGCAAGGCCAAAACGAGAAGGCTCAGCAGTAGCACTTCCTTATCGGCTTTTCAAAGCACTCGCAGTGGTTGTTTTTGAGCCAGGGCCGCCTGAGAATGCGCGGCAAGCAGAGGCTCCAAAAGAGGCTCCAAAAGACCTTGGTTTGTCAGCGAGCCTGGCATTGCTTCCTAGGCGACTCGCCCGATTAGCTCGACGTTTAAGTCCGAGCCGGTGACCAAGAGCAAGGCAGGGGCAGCAGTCTCTCAGAGACTGGCTTAAAGTTTGTGGAGCTTGTGTTCTTGCTTTGAGGTTAAGGCTAGATCTGGCAGAGCCTTGCCCTCATTAGTCAGCAGAGAAGAGAGTGCTGTGTGCAAGTGCACTTTCTTAGTGCGTGCATGGGTCGCCCCTGTTTCAATTCAGCTCGGATGTCCTAGGTCCTGAGCTTTGTAGTCGAGGATTCGCTGCCGCAAGATCCGGCACTGAGCCTCCCGGACCATGTCAGGCCTCGCGAACACGAGAAGTGCTGGGATGCTTCTTTCACACCACGTGAGGCAGCGATGGTCCGTGCGGCTGGCAGAAGCTGCCAGTTGTGCTGCAGCCATGGGAAAGCCTTGGAAGGACTTCTCAAGATCTTGTGCTGTTCTTGCTTCTGCTGTTCCGGTGGACCCTCAGGCGCACCATCCGCCTTTGCCTTGGTACGCAGTTGAGCTAATGCGGGTTTGCACGGGCACCACGCACCTGAGCTCGCAGCTGATGGCGCTGCAGGCTGGGCTGTTGTAAACTGAAGCCTACACAGCGAACGCAAGCAAGCATGCTTGCAGCAAGCATTTCTTTGTCATGTCCAGGCACAAAGGAGCAAGCGATCGTGGATGTGGAAGGATCCACTGACATTTGCAGCGACTAGTTTAGTGTAACCTTCAGCTTATGCTTCTTAAGCTGCCACAAGATGTCTAACGGGGTGTGCATCTCGGTTCTGGTCGTGTGTTGGATCTAGATGAAGTTCACACGGCCAGGTGCAGGCGTTGCAGCTTTGTGATCAAAATTGAGAAAGGCACGGTGGCGTAGTAAACTGGCAGGACGGGCCGTTGGCAAGGATGCTGGCAAGTTGTGGTGACATGCTAACAGAGGCTCCGTGCTGTTCAACCTTTGCGTTGCCATGCCTTGATGGCATTCAGACGACACCGACCTGATCTTGAAAAGGCCGGCTCTGTGATCGAGTCTGTGTCTGCAGCGAGGCGGGCCAGCCGATTTTGGGAGTCATCAGAAGGATCGTGGCACAGGGCTGCAGAGGCAGCAAAGTATTATAAGACTCCGCACCCCCGCATAAATATGTGTATATTGCACTAGTTGTGCTATTTCAAGGTCCGGTGCACATGCTGTGGTTAAACGAAAGTAGCATCTCCTGCATGTCAGGATCATCCTCATGAGCATGCTGGCAGATGGATCGACGTTCGGTGCTTCCTGACAACCCCCCTGGCCGAACACGTGCAATGTGTACCTTCATATACTCCAAGGACCACCTTACATTGGTTGGGTATCCCACCCAGTCAAAAGCGAGCCGAATACCCCCCAGATCTGCCCGTCAGACTCCATGGTCAAAGCAAGTGAAGCTGACATGTTGGACAGCCTGTCTCTAGCAGCTGGCATGACGTGAACGGGCCTTGTGGGTCACATGCCGTGACAGGTGCTCACAGTCCTCGTCATTTCACGCCACACTGCGAGCAATGCGGGAGCGATGTGACGTGGTCCGAAGATGTGGCTGTCATGGAGACGAGGCGGTGCTGATGAGTGTTAACTTTGTGAACTGAGGCTTGCCAGCCTACCTGTCTGAACCAACAGTGCCACCGTGCCGTGCTCCCACATTGCCTAGATGCGCCTGCCAGCGGCCGTGCTTCGTGCAAGGCCTCTCCTGTACAGCAGAAGAGGCCATGTCTATGACCCAGGTGCGAGACTTAGATCTTGATATCTCGAACTGACACGGCTCCACGGCAACAAAGACGGCTCTCACACGCCTTCGGGGGGCCGGAGCAGCACTGGGTCTCGCTCTCAGGCAGGTCAAAATGCAGAGCCAGGAGATGCAACAGGAAGGGATAGGTCAGCCCTTTGCATAGCAGCTGCGCGCAGGCTTGAGGAGCCGGATTTCAGCGGTGTTGTAGGCACGTCCCCAGCGAGTAGAATTTTTGCTTGCATGCACAGATACTACGCATTTGCTGTGGACCATGCAGCATTGCTCCGGCAACTTTGGAAGAATCTGGCACGTTCTACAGGATCTCTGTGCATTAGACAGCGTGCCTTCGGAGGGTTTAGGAAACACTCAGTCACATGGTGTTCGACAGGTGAGGGCATTCACCAAGATTTTTTTATCCTGGTGCCCGTCGTGGAGATGACGCTGTCGACCCTCGGCGTGTTCGTTCCCGGAACACCAAGCTGCAGCATTAGACAACACGTTTCGTGAAGTCGGCACATCAGTGCCATGCTGGCATTTCGGCACGGCGTCCATTTCTGGGATTTCTGGCGGCAGCGATTGATGCGGCTTCACCACTCACTGGATTCGGAGTGTTGGTCTGGATGTCAGCATTTGGTCGGCTGTAGTCTTATGCGTTGTTTGGATTCGGCGGAAATGACTCTCACACTTGGCATGCTCCGAAAGCGGGCCGGGCGATGCTTGGAGGGCTTTGTCCGCGCGGTTGGACTGGGTTCCGGCCTGCGAAGAGACAACTTAGACGCTATCAGACGTCCAGTTCACGACCCATCAGGGAAGCTGCAGGGTTTTCTGGCGGAGCATGTTGTGCTCTTGCCAAGCAAATTCACAGTTTTCTAAGGATCATCATTCGTCCGCAGTCAGTTCACCCGGACTTTGGCACAGTCGCGGCGTGAACCAGACTTTTACTGGAAGCCGAACTAATTGCCATCCTCCGAATATTTGCATTTCCACTGAAACTGAGGTGTTGAATCGTGTTACATTGTTACATGTTGTTGAGTACACTTCTGTTCCAGCCCCAGGAATTTGGGGTGGCTGACCAAGCTTGTTTTCTTGCAGCTCGAGCGGGACCTCTCTCATGTGCCACAGCCCCGGCATTCACGGTCTGTCAAGCACCAGGTCCAACACGTATATTCCCTGTGGCTCATGCTTGCAGCTGCCTGTCAGTACTCGCTAATGGAGCGAGCCGAGTTGACGGGGAGTAGTTCCTCAATTCACCTTCATCGTTGGGGTTCGAGTTGGGCACAAGTGCCACACGTCGACCAATTTTCTCGGTGCAGTGACTTGCCAGCCTAGCATAAAGGCCTGCTGAAACAGCCGGCGCCGGTGGTGGCCCTTTCGCAGATCCATCGTTGCTCGGTTGCGAAAGACATGCTGGTGCTTTTACACCAATGCTGGATCTATGACAGGATGAAGTCGACTGTGGGAAGTCCGTCCATCAACTCGGCATGGGCGGAGCAGGTAACTGCCTTTTGCTGGCCTTGCTGTTTTGAGGCTGAGTAGTTGAGGGAGAACGTATGCGAACGCGCAGGAGTCCCAAATTCTTGACGAGGCCGAGGCCCTGCACTCCGCCTGCTTTTCTATCTGAATATCTTTACCGCCATTGCGCTGTGTTTTGGTTTTTGTGGGAGGCCGTGCAGGAGGAGGATCCAAGGAGGGGAATTTGCAACGGAAGGCAGGGGCCATGCCATACCATGCCTCCATCTACGAGGACATCGCCGTCGCAGCCTGCACAAGAGGAACTCGAGGCAGCTGCCGCCAGCTTGGGCGATTCAGCTGTTCGACTTTCACGGTGCATCCAGAGATGCCGCTCGTGGCTTCGGCAGGGTGCTTCGAGTGCGAAGGCAAACAGCAGGTGTGGTGACACTTGTGTCAACCAGCCATGGGTGTTTGTGTTGTGCGTGTGTGCCCGCGAGCGCATGATTGCGTGCATGGTTCGTTTTCGGCAAAACAACTGACAGGAAGCCATTGAAGAAGAAAAGTTCCATTGCGCCGAAAGTTGCAAAGAAAAAGTCTGCTGCTTGAGGCGGCTATGGCAAGCGTTGGGTAAATGCACACCGTCACGTCTCCAAGAGACGGCAGGACAAGCACGCTAATATTTTCAGAGGCACAGTCCTACTACCTGGAGCAAGATGCTCTGGATGGTGTTGAGAAGAAGCAGTGAAACTCAAAAGCAGACCAAATTCGAGTGCGACACTTCGGTGTGTAGGCCAATCTGTGCTGGTTCAGCTCCTGGCACTGCCAACCATCACCGGCACGAACAATACTTCTAGCTGCTGTAGCTGCTTCCGACATAGCCTTAGACCATTCTGGGCTGCACTCCCTACGGCCCTGTGCAGTGTGAACGTGCGGTTGCTGTGCAGCACTTTGCTTCGAGCCTTTTCAGTTATATTAACTTCCTATGCTCATGTAGATGCACCTCAGATCTCAGCATTGATGATTTCAGTCTGAAGGCCTTAGCTCTCTGGGGCTTTTTAAACTGCTTGACCTTGCGGCATTCCTTCAGCATCCATGTCCCACTCTGTGGAAGCGCTGCAGAGTGCCGGCTGCGATTAATGGGGGCAATTTCTACGCTCGGGATTGTCTATCGGTCCCAATCTGGTTTCCGACTCAAGGAATGCGCGGGCCGCTTTGCAAGAGGAGCGCTTTTTCGATGGTGTCCAGCTTGTGAACACGGCCCTTGAGGCGATGAGCCGTTTTCTTCGGATTGCTTATCGTGTGTCGAATCGAACCCTTGGCCGGAGGCTCAAGGACAAGCTCTTGGTGGCAGCAAAGGAGGCTATTCAGCAGCTCCGGCCTGTGACCTCAGATGCGTTTGTGGAGGTCGACTCTTCGCAAAGCTGAGTTCAGGCTTCGACCGAAGCAGACGGCACGGAAATCCTTCGGACTCCAGCAGCTGGCCTACGTGCTCGCTATACCTCATTGGTTGAATCGACCTCGAATCCCACTGCAGGAAGTCTTCCTCAATCGGGCCTGGCTCCTGGAATCAGGCCTACTCCGCACCCGTCTGTTGGTTTCAGAGGTGATGACAACCTTGACGGCTGCGAAGAAGACAGAGCTGGCCGACTTCTTCACCGTCCGCACTGTGCGGGGCTCGGGCAAGCGCACTGGGCTCTGCTCTCTCTTGCTCCGCTCTCCGCACTTTTAAGAAGTTTGGCTTCTTTGATGCTTTGTGTAGACTTCGCTTTGAAGGACTTGCTCGTTGGCCTCGGTGCGCTCAAACGTGCAGTGGTGGATGTAAGCGCTGCTTTGCGACCCGACAGAATCTGTAGGTCACTGTTCTCTGCCGTCTGCCGGAAAGAGTGGCATGTACGGCATGCTGTTAGTCATTGCTAGTCTTCCCCCCAAAAACTGTTGCAAGGCTGCTCCGGCCGGAAGATGAAGCTCTGGCTAGGAAGAAGACTGATCTGGAGGGTGCGGGAATCTTTGCAACACTTTTGCATGTGTCCCCGGACGATGCAGCTTGTAGGGCGACTTGCTGGAGACACGGGTCTTGGAGCCGCCGCCAAGCCAGAGTCCAAGCCTCCTGCAGTGATGTGGCTTTGTAGATCTTTGCATTATCGTTTCCGGGGCATCGTGTGGATCTTGTGGTTGGGTTCGGGCTTCAAAGCCCGAAGCTGCAAGGAGAAAAGAACACCCAAAGTGCTAAGAGGTCGGCTGCTGTGGGTGCTGGCTTGGATCAAAAAGATGGGAAAGAGACGGAAAGCGCTTGCACTGCAACCGCACCCGAAATGTGGAAGCATGCCTCTCCGAGCTTGATCCACTAGTTATCGCTAGTTCACTAGTTCTACCACTTGGTGCAGCTATGCGTAAACCGCAGCATAGGATTCGCTTCTTGCGTCGCACTGGAGTGCACATCTGCTTTAGCACCTCGCACGGCGCCAACTTGTTCGAACAAGGACTCCCACAAGCATCATCACCGGCTTTCTCGGTGCAGGCAAGCGTGGTTCTTAGCTGTCTTGGTGGGTGCGCAAGCTTGCAGGGTTCTCTCGTGCCGTTCAGTGCTGTGATCGACCTGTTGCAAATCCCTAGGACAACCCTCCTGAATTACATTCTGGAGCAGAATCACGGAAAGAAGATTGCAATCATAGAAAACGAGTTCGGTGAGGTGCGGTGTCATTGCCGTTCTTACCGGAACGGGTGGGTGCTTTGACATGCGGTTGGCATGAACTTCCGAGTTTCTTGGCGAGGTAGGGATAGATGATGCGCTGTTGAACACCAAGAGCGCTGTGACAGAGGAGTCCCCAGTAGTAAGCTGACAGTCGGTATTGTTGAATCGTTTCCGGCCAGGAGAACGTCATTGAGATGAACAATGGCTGCATTTGCTGCACCGTCCGGGGGGACTTGATTGCAGGGCTGAAGAAGCTCCACAAGCAAACCACGGGCAAGGCTGAGCGTAAATCTTTTGTCACCGCAGGCGGCTGGATGCCGCAGCTAGTGAGCCGTGTCAGGGCAAGCCTTTGGATGGGATCATCATTGAGACCACGGGCCTTGCAGATCCAGCTCCCGTGGCACAGACCTTCTTTGCTGATGACTTCGCTCCTGCCCCAGCGAAGCCATGCCCGTGAGCGAGAGTGAGCTGGGCGGTGGGAGGTGAGTGCCAACATGGTGCTCGATGGCATCCTGACGGTCGTAGACAGCAAGCACATCATCGGACAGTTGCAGGAGGAGCCACCCATGCCATGGTGCTGTCGACAGCTCCATAGCCGTAACACGTCTCGGCCCGGCACAGGACAAGCCAGAAGGGGCGGTGAATGAGGCCGTGGAGCAGGCCTGACTCCTCGCTGCTTCGGAGCCTTCGACCTGTGGGGCACCTGCTAAGATCGCCTTTGCAGACCGGATTCTGCTAAACAAGCGCTGGCCTCGGGCACGGTGGTTGTCAACGACACAACGACATGGAGCAGCGCATTCTCTTGTTCGATGCCAGGACAGACCTGGTGAGTGATGCCGAGCTCGACGAGGTCCAGCGAGAGGTACGAAGAATCAACAAGACAGCGGCGATGAAGAGGACAGTTCTTGCAATCCCGGTCTCGTTCAGAAAGGAGTGGAAGGACGCGTCTAGCGATAAAGTTTGGAGGACAAGATTCTGCTGGTTCCGAAAACTGCGGTCCTTAACGGAGTGTGCATGCCCCGTCCTACCTGTGCCCACAGCCGCGCAATCTTTTCTACCACCGCCGCGAAGCCCACCCCCACCCCCTCGCCCCCATCCCCACCCCCACCACTCCCAGCACCAGCAACAGCACCAACACCAGCAAAGAACCCACCACGGCCGCCGCCGCCCCGCCACCCCACAACCAGCACCACCGCCACCACCGACCAAGCATGTGGAACTGAGGTTAATGTACGGGCACAATCATGTGCAAACGGGCCTACTGATGTTGGCTAAGATTGAGGGCACTGAATCCCGCGGGTCTAATGACCAAATATGTGGCCACTGATGTGTTGCAAAGATTGAACAATCTGGGAGTGGTCTCCAATTGGTTCAAGGATCTCGCCACTGACGTGATGATCATGTTGCTCCTGTGGTGAATGCTCAAATGCCTGCTCCTCTTCCTCCTCCCCGACCACCACCCTCCTGGGAATGGCCCGCGCGCTCCCCTCCCCTGCCCTACCCTCGTGCACGTCCTTCCCACTGCACAAACTGTCTCTCTGGACGCCATTGCGCTGAAGTGCACGCCGAGGGACTATGTAGGTGAGCCCAAGAGATTGCAATGCATGTCCTTGAGTGCATGACATGTCACACTGCTGTTTAGTCTAGTGTAAAGTGAATGCAGCACCTGTGCTTGTCATGACTGTTTGTGCAATGTTTGTGTTGCCCTGAAGAGCCCAAAACCAAAGAAAGAGAGTGTGACAGAACGAGAGTGTCTTGTTCGACTGTCGAAATGTTTTCCGATGGAACGTAGGATGTTTCGTGCCGGTCCCGACCGGATTGCCGAAATGTTTCGGGAAGTTTTCCGCTAGGCCGAGCCCGAAACTCCGATTGGAGTGAGATTTCGCCGAATGCTTGTCGAAACTGCGGCGAGTGTTTGGCGAAACCTTGGCGATTGCCTGACGATTGTTTGGCGAAAGTCCGTCGAATGTTTTGCCGAGAGATTGAAAGCGATCCGCAGGTACAGCGTGCAATGCAAGGGACTTCATTAGACCTTTGTGTTGCAGACTGAGATCAACGTGTTTCGCCCCGAAATGTTTCCTCTGAGTGCTTGTTAGTGTGACCCCCGAGTTCATAGATTGTAGACTATTGTAGACTGCCTTCGCTCTTTCTTAATTTGTAGCAATGGCCGCGAAGACTGCGGCCCCGAAGACTGCAGTAATGGTCCGTCAGACCATGGGGCCACTGCCTGAGCAAGTGATTGAGGCGATCGCTGGCAAGCAACTGGCTATCGATCTGGCAGCACTGAGTGGATGAAGGAGTGCAGACCACACTGGTGGCAATGCACATGATGGCCCAAGTCCGTGAGGACCGCCAGGACCTGCATCGACTGGCAATGGGCGAATCCTTTGTCCGCGCGAATGAGGCTGTCGATTCACAGCCGGCGGAGAATGGGAGTGCAGCTGTCCCGACCGCAACTGAGCCTTGGACATCACTGGCACTGGGTCAACCGGAATTGGGAGTACCATGCCGACTGTGCCGGCATCCTCGACTAATGCTCCGAGTGCTGCTTCGAATGCTGCACTGAATGCGGTGCCTTGGGTGCACGTCATTTGATGAATGAAACAATGGTTCAGCACAAGCTCAACCGAAATGGGCCTGTGAGTGTTGAAATGTCCAGAGCCTCGACGGCAATGGGCTGTGGACGCGAAATCACGCGGACCTGGAATGGGCTGGACCTCTTCAGCACGACTGTGGCCCAGAATGCTCGTGAGGGTGTGGTTGGAAGGGCGAATGATCTCGCCGAGCGACTGCTCAAAGCCCAGATTGGACTGGCAGAAGCATTGTATCGCCGGCCCCGGCGACAAGAATGACGCGACTAGTGTCTTAACGACAAACTATGCCACCTGCGCATGGCTGAAGGTCCGACTTCCGTGAAGAGGCAAGGTAGGGAAGTTCTGGGGTTTGGGTGCACTCCCGAGTCCCAGTTCCTGAGACAGGTTCGTTATGCAGGCTCAAGTCGTTGACTCTCCTGACCTTCTCGCAACTCTCAATCCTCCAATACCGAACAGGCTATGACTGCCCAAAAGCTTTCCCAAGCATCCAGCGGCATGACACAGAGTTTGTATTCTGATTCGGCAGCCGATTCAGATGAGAGTGCCAGTAAATGCTTTGGAGTTTTTGGGTACTTCTCAGATCTCGGTAGATCCTCAAACACCGAACAGAACCTATTGCCGAGGTCACCTCCGACAATGGCTCTGAACCGTTCCGCATCGTTCCGCCGACTCAGCTCTCGCTGACATGGGCCCACGCCTCTTTCCGAGTCGCATACTTATCTTGTCCTGGAAGTAGCGACTTCATCGGCGCATTCTTATTCGCCCTCAAGACCGTGGACGTGTGCGTGTGTCTGTGTGTGTTTGTGTGTAACACCCTGTCACCAAAGGCACTGAAATACAGCAGGGGGGCGGCGGAGACTCAGGTAAGACGGGTGCGTGCGCTGGCCAACGAAGACCGCGCACTCATTTAACTGTCCTCTCGTGTAAACGTGCCTGCACAATGATGCAAAAATCAGAAAAAGCTCTGACTGCAAGCCGGACAAGATCAAAACGCAGTTCGGATAAGATCGAAAAGGTGAGAAAGAAAAGATGAAAAGATGATTCTAGCGTGCTAACCCAGGTATGATTTTGATCATACCGCATGGGTCAATCTGAGTGTGTACTTCGGCTGGATATCTTTCATATTGCCAGTCGTGAAGCTCCAGCTTTATTTAGAAAGCTCGGTGGCCAGAAGCATACCCGTTTCCCGAATCTCATCATGGCTTTCCGATCTGGTCTGCTGCTGTGCATGTTCTGCTTCAGAAGGCGGTGCTGCGTTGGTGGATCTGCCTGGATAGCCGTCATCGCTATGCAAAAACATTATGTGGTCCGCTGTATCGGTTCTTCGGTCACCCAGGGCAACAAACTAGAATTCAAGGACATCCGCTTTATATCATTCTTCGGAGGGCGTGATTTTGCAGTTCAGGCAGACAGCCATCATCAAAACCCGTGCACACTTGCTGAACAATGAGCGGCAAGCTCAGTGTTTGCCCTCGGTCCTGCATCATGGGCTGCGCTTTCGTCCGGGATCGTTCAGGACCATATCACCATATCAGGGAAGTGTCGGCTTTTTTCACCAAGCGTCCTCGAGCCCGTGATCGTCAACGTCATCGGTACTACGACATTGGACCCGTTAGCTGACGTGATCGCCGAAACGTTGCCCACTGCAAGTGCCAGTGGGCAGGTGGGCAAATTGGAGCTTGCGTAAAGTCAGTTTATTGAGCATTTAATTGTTCCAACGCGACGATACCGCGAGCCTCACGGTGTCCCACAGCTGAAGGGGCTTTGCTTTGTCTCCCGTCACCCGTGAACCCTTCGGCTTGTGCATGGAGTGTCGTGTGTCGTATGAACCTTTAGATTCAGAGGCAGCGGTGCAGGACAAAGAACTCCCAAGTCGACATGGATTTTATTCTTGGCATTGAGGCTGGCTGCTTCCCGGAGAGGGCACAGCAGTTGTTTGCAATAGACGAAGGCCTTCTCCTTGGAGCGGATCCTCATGCAGGCGAACCGAGTCGGGTTCATGTTGCATGCAGCAGCAGCATCAACGAAGCAACGATGTCGTTCATTCAGTGCATCAGTTCTTTGCAGACAACACCTACAATATCGGCAGAATCCCCATCATCCTTTGTAGTGCTGGTGAAGAGTTGCAGCAAAGAAGTCGGAGTGAACCCGCTGAACACGCGGTTTTGTAGGGCGTGAGAAACCTTGTAGAAAGTCAGTCAGTGCTCCGAAATATGCATGCAGCATGCTGAACAACCCTCGATGGATGGTAAGGGACGGAGTTGCAGATCCTTGCGCACTTGGGTCTCCCATGATCCGGGAGTGCCGTAGTACTATGATACCTATGCACTTTGTGCGGCGTTTCCTTTCCGGATCAAAATGGCCTGGCTGGTCAAAAGGCGAAGGTGAAGGGCTGTAACTTGTCTGCGTTTTGCTTCTGTCGTGAAAACAAGACCAATGCAAGCTGTCACAAACAAGCGACAAAACAAAAATATGACAACAAAAAAGCCAAACATAAGAAGACAAAACACAAAAGCACAAAACCAAAACAAAGACTGCAAGAAGCAAACAGCAAGAATGTACCACCAAAAAGCAAATTTCAGAAAGTCTTGGTCCAGAGTCCTGGATTGCAGAATTCCCGCAAGAGTTGTAGACATTGTGCTTGTGGTTGTGTTTCTTTTTTTTGTTTTTGTCTTTCGATTTTGTTTCTGGTTGTGCTGGCCATACGCGTGCGGAATCCGAACGAGGTCCGGCCCAGTGCCATCTTTTGTCTGTTACCTTCAAAAAAGTTCAGTAATCTTCCCAAACCGCCCGTTTCGATTATCCGAGGACACACAATCTAACGTCGTTGCTAGGTCGTGCTGATGCTCTTCGGTCACGGAAGTCATCAAGCTTTTCGGAATCCAGCGAACGAATGAATGATAAGATACGAACACTGCGCGTTTTTGTGCATGTAGGTCGACACGACATGGGGTCTAAAGATTTCAACTGCACGAAACGCAGCGGACAATCTATAGTTTGAAGCTGTGCAGGTCAGCCAAGGCGTTCTGGAAGAGGAACTTGCAGTTGTGTATTGGCGATCGAGTGCTGTTGGAACCTCAGAATGTCTCGGCTTCTGTGCACAACGGCACAGCAGGAAGAAGGCCACGGCCATGGCCATCATGGACACGAAAAAGGCCGTTCTGTTCTTCGTGGTTTGGAAGCTGCGAGTTGGCTGTGAGATGAGGTCAATTTGAGCAAGCCACCAAGTAAGTGGAAGGCCATGACCATCATGATCATGATGGTCACTGCTGCCATGAAGACCATGGTGCAGGCTGTAGTCGCTGTAGTAACTGGCAGTTTCAAGCATCACATGAGCATTTCTTACTCGAGAGGGTTGCTTCTTGCCTGGTCCATGCCCACCACTGAGGGTCCGGCCATGAGCATGCTGGACATGACGGCCAGAGGCTTTCGTAAGCCTTGGCCGAGCTCAGGAATGTCCCAGATGGCCCGTAAACATGAGGTCACCATGCACACGAGCATAACGGCGAGGTGGGCACCCCTTTTCCTGTTACTTGCAGACCGGATGTTGCAGGGCAGGCGCTTGTGTCCCGGGAGGCCTGCGACCATCCCTCCCATCGGAAGCGGCACGACTACAGGGCCAGTGCCCGTTTTTCCGGTTTGCCTCCAGAGCCTCTTCCTCGCCTCCAGAGGCCTCTTGGAACTGAGGTCAGCTCTGTGGGCATTCAGCGGGACAGGGAAGTCGTGAAAGAGAAGCTGCTTGACTCGACTCGGCTCATCCACCTCGAAGTCCTTCCATGCTCCATACGAGGCTAGACAAATTCATCGGCTGGCTGATACAGCAGAAGGGTCCCGACTTGTACCGTTCCAAGGGAGCCGCATCCTCAGAGCGGAGGAGATCAGAGGAGTCCGACTATCCCACGAGCAGGTCCTAGCGGTGCAGGGGCTGCAGCAGAAGTTCGTATTCCATGCCGTGCACATGCAGTGCCTGGCTGCAAGACGTGCAACTGCTGGCATGAGCATGCAGCAGCCTGTTCTTCGTACGGGAGGTTCAGCGGCAAACCTCAAGAAGCCTGGAGGGAAGACGAGAAGAGGCGCCCGCAGCTCTCTGGCAGGGTGACCTCCGTGCAGCCCAGCGAGAGGTGCTGCAAAATGGTCTTCATTGGAAAGAATATGGATCGCGAAGAGTTGAATAAGAAATTCGACGAATGCCTCGCGTGAAGTGCGGGAACCACTCCTTCCGGGATTGCTCGGAGCGCACGGATTTTCTGAAGTTAGGTAGAGGGGTTAGAATAAGGCTTTAGCAGGCAAGCCAAGAGGCTCCTGTGATCTAAGCCGCTTCTGCACCAGAACACAGTTGCTTTCGCGGAAGCGGAATGTTATCAAAGCCTTCCATTTCACGACTGCAACAGATCCAGATGTGAGGGGTGAGCTTCTGCAGCAAGGTAAAGCCAAGCTGCACGGCCTTCCCAAGTCTAGAGTGGCAGCACGCCCACATACCCGTCGCTTCAGTGAAACACTCGACTGATGCGTGCCGGAGGTTAAGCTCGCTCGACCGTGACATCTGATATTCGGTTTGAAGCGGACTTTGCGGCGCAGACACAGTTGATGTTTCCGGGATGAAGGCAAATAAAGACATGATGATGCACGGCACATGACAAGTGACTGGTGCGGAGCATCATATGCGCCGTCGGCAGATTTGTGTTCAGCTGCGGAGAATTTGGGTCAAGCTTCTGCTGGTGCCTCGTTCGTGAGTAGTCTCGCTGCTTCCTTCGCTTGTGGCGCCTGGTGCTGGTGAAGCCGGGTGGTTTATGCTTAAAGGTTTGATGGCTTGTCGCATTTCGGCTTCGTTCGGCCCGCTGAGCTCTTTTGCTGGCCTGGCCACTCGGAACCTCGTAGCATGCTGTGTGCCGGTCTCGCAGGATTTCATGAAGGCCACCTGCAAGAAGATTGTGCGTGTA